TGGCCAGGGCGAAAAAGGCCCCGCCCCCAGGGCACCCTCGCATGATTCCCGAGAGGGCCTGGAAGAGGAAGGCGAGGGAGTCTCCGACCAAGTCGGAACATCCAAACCCAGCGCAGATCATCTGGAAGAAGGCGAGGAGGGGAGGTGGGAGATGAACAGACCGAAGCACCGCGAAGAGCCAGTTGCGGGCCACACCGGGGAAGGCCTGAGCGAAAGCGCAGGTGATCTGGACGCGGAGATTGTTCTGCGCATCTGGAGCCAACGGCGCGCAGCGACCTTCAGCATCGAGTTGGATGACGTTGTCCCCGACGTTCCGTCCCCGAACGAAGCCCCGTCGATGGAGCCGCGAGACCTACTAGGAGGGCAGTCGCCAGGGCACTCGCGCAGACTCCGACTAGCACCTTGTTGTCGGAGTTCTTGAGGCCCAGCGGTCGGGCATTGGCGGCGCCCCTCGTCGCGCATCGCCCCGCGTCTCCCCCCCCCTCACCTTTCTTTGCAAAAACGCCCAATGAATCGTGAAACCCCCCGAATATTGGGCCGCCACCAAGCATCCACCACAGCGCGCCATCTAGGATGGCAACCGCGCAAGGGGCCCGTTGCCAGGCCAGGCACGGGAGGCCGCCAGGGCCCGCCGCGCTACGCGGGAGGGACATCAGGCACAGCTCCAACTGGCCGAGGGCGGGCGGCGGCAGGTGGAAGCAGTCCATCTTCGGGTCGAAGTTTTCGAGGATGACCCCGATCGCCGACTCGTCGCCTTCCTTCGGGTCGACGACGGGGGCGCTCGGCGAGCGACATCATCATGGCCTTCGGCTCGGTCGCGACTTCGGCCCCATCGCGAACGACGCGGAGGAAGACCCTGGAGCCGAAAGGGGCCCACAACGTGCCGAGCCTCCGCAGGTTGGCAGCTCGGGCCCGCGCACTCCGCAGCCGGCGTCGGAGAGCGGTCGGGAGCCCGCCAGGAGCGGCACCACCGCCAGGGACGCCGCCCGCAGCCGCTTGAGCTTCAGCAGCGGCAGCCGCTGCTTCCCGAAGGCGGCGGCCGTTCATCTCGCGGCGGAGGGCCCTGGAGAGTCACAGGTGCTCGTCGCGCTCCGCCAGGCCCACCGCCCCCGATCGGCGGTCCAGGTCCAGGAACTTGTTCGCCAGCGGGCGCGAGGGGTACAGCTTGCAGGCACCAGTGTAATCAAGCTTCATGACGATGCGGGAGATGCCCCCCGCGACCATGAAGCGCGCCGTCAGAGCTGTGGGTTCGCGCCAGATCACGGCATCCCTCGCGCGTCGGGCAGCCTCCCACATCGCCATATTGAAATACTCGTGCTCGATGGGGGGGCGACACGCGATCGTAGTCGCCGGCCGCCATCGCCTCGTCCAGGAAGGCAGCAGACCGAAGGTGTTTGAAAATCTCGGGATGCATCGCCTGGGCCCGAGGCGCGAGGCCGCGCCCGGGCTTCAACGCGAATGCGACCGCGGCGCGGTCGGACAGGCCTCGAGCACGCAAAGCTGCAGGGCCCCCTCAAACGGCCCCTCATTCAGACATCTGCAGAGCAGACCACCCAGGAGCAGACGAGAAGAGACGACCCACGCCGTTGAGCTTGCCCGCCTCAGGATGGTAGCGCGAGGGGTCACTGACGACGTGTTCGAGGAGGCCCTGGAAGATGCTTTCCCGCGCTCTGCCCGCGGGAGACGAAGTGGGATTCCTGCGGGGGGCTCTCGGGTTCCTGCGCGGCCCCGGGGAAGGGGGGGCCGAGGGAGGAGGAGTAGCCATCTGGATTCCCGTAGAAACCCTCAGGGGAGCAGCACTGGCACCAGCAGGCGGGGAGGGGGCCGCAATCTGGGCCCTCGAGGAGGTAACCTGGGTTCCTGCAGGGGTCCCTAGCGCTGAAGTACTTGTTATCTGGGAAGGTGGAGGTCCTCAGGTTCGAAGAACGGGTCGAAGGGCAGGCGGGGAGGTCACGTGGAGGAAACGGAGCGGGATCCACGAACGTCGCCTCGCTGGCACTGTCGGTCGCAGGCGAGTGGGACATGTTAAAGTCTCCACCGGCTAAGACTACGTGCCTGGTGGGGCCCCTTGGGCCATTCCCAGCGAGGCCTCAATGTCCTGACGAATCAACAACACCTGAGCGCAATTCAGACCAAAATTGTGAATGTTATGATGCGTCACTGAATACAGAGTGTCGAAAGAAAAACCTGGTTTTCAGCGCTTCTCAGGGACCAGCTCGCGATGCTCCGCAGCTGGTCTAACGCCCCCGAAGAGCTGCGCGGCCTTTTCAGAGCCTCACTGTGGCAGCTGGTAGAACGTGACCACTCCCCCCGCGTTCGGCTGGCTGCGACAGAAGGAGGAGGCCGGGTAGTAGTCCCTCTCGTTGAGGCACCTGAGCAGGTCGCGTGCCTCGGCTTTGGTACCATGAGTCTCTTGCACCCCAACTACTGCCCCACCAAGTAGTTTAGCAAGATACTTCACCTTATTGATGCGTAGTGTGCGCTCTTGCTCCGATCGGGGTGCCAGGAATAACGCACGTGCATTCCAGGTGGCCACTCTGAAGGGAAAGGGCTGTCCTTCTCGGTCTCGCCGATCGCACGCCAGGAACGTCGGCAGGTTACAAAACCGACCACTCCGTGGGCATCGCCGAGGCGCCAGAGAGCGTGTCCTCGACCAGCGGGGCGAGCTTGTCCGTAGAGATCTGGAGCTCGCGCAGGTTGTCGGCAATCACTTGACGGTGGGCTTGTCGCCGCTGTCCGTGGGGGTGATCCGCAGGAAGGGGAGCCAATTCGAGCTGAGTGCGCACTTGCCCTTGTCGCTGAAGAACTTGGTGTCGGGGTAGGTTTCCTCCACCATTCTGCGAGCCGCGCGCAGGGCCAGCTCTCTCTCTCTCTCTCTCTCTCTCTCTTGATGTTGAACGGGTTCTTGTCGCCGCTGACGAACAGGTTGGTGTGCTCGCCGCCCACGCCGCTGCAGGCGAAGTTCCCCCAGCGCCCGTCGGAATGCCTGAGGGCCCCCAGGCATTGTCCGACCTGCCTGTTCGCGTAGTTGGCGGCGCTCTTGAAGCGAATGACGAAGCGCTTGCCTGTAGGATCTCCCTCCCACTTATTATCATCATCAGGAGCCATGCTACAGCTCTGCAAGAACGGGTTGAGGATGGTGTGCACCTTGTCCTTGGCGACGAGCGCCTTCGAGGTGATGACCAGCACCGCAGGCTCGATGGGCCTCTTGAAATTCGGGTGTTCCTGCGGGTCAGCGCCCCTGGGTGGCCGAAGTCGGCGCGAAGGCGGTCCACGGTGGAGCGCAGCGCGGCCAGGTCGCGGGCCGGCGTGCTCTGCGTCGCCTCCACGGTGCCGAGGCGCTGCTCCATGTGCCTACCAAAGCCTTCGTAGGAGGTAGCGACCTGCGTGGACAACTGAGCGACCGTCGCCTGCAGCGTCGAAACGGACAGAAGGATGTCGTTGCGAGTCTGATCGACATATGAGCGCCATACTGAAGGCCCATCGCCCACCACATGAAAGCCAGCATTGTCACCAGCAGGAGCGGCAGCAGCAGGAGGACGTCTGGCGGCCGCTGCCTGAGCCCACGGGTCGCTTGGAGGCGGTGCTGCCACAGGACGCTCTTCCGTCGGGAAGGTGGCCGCCGCGTCGATGCCCTCCAGCAGCGACTGGGCCATCTGCATGGGCTCGCTGTTGGCTGCACGAGGGGCGCGCCGTTCTCGACCTTCGCGGGTGCGGCGGGCCCCTCGACGGCGGGCAGGGCGGCCTCCATCGCTCCTGGACTGGGATCGGTGGTCGCTCTCATCGCCAGAGCCAGCAGCGCCGTCAGCGCGAGGGCCACGCGCTGCCATTGCAGCAGGATGGACCTCCTCTTGGCCCGAATGAATGGCTTGCGCCAGTACAGAGACAAGTTGTGCTCCCCCAGGAGTTCACTGAGCGGGGCGCGTGGGCGAGGCCTTGATGCCTTCCTACCCACAGCCCACCAAATTTAGCTCTCTGTAAGCCACCTCGAGAAATGGTTACTTGAGCCAAAATGGCTTGAGCCAAAATGGCTTGAGGATGAGGCTTGAGCCTCATCATCCTCCTCCTCATCATCCTGCTCCTCCTCCTCATCATCCTCCTCCTGCTCCTCCTGCTCCTCCTGCTCCTCCTGCTCCTCCTCCTCCTCCTCCTCCTCCTCCTCCTCCTCCTCCTCCTCCTCCTCCTCCTCCTCCTCCTCCTCCTCCTCCTCCTCCTCCTCCTCCTCCTCCTCCTCCTCCTCCTCCTCCTGCATTTGCGTCCTCCTCCTGCCTCCCCGAAGCGTCTACACTTTAGACAGGATCCACGCTTTTCAATGGCCGCTCGGGTTCTCCTCCTTCTGGGACAGGCAATCAGAGTCTGCCGCGCGAGACACCCTCGAAGCTCAAGGGGTACCCTCGAAGTGAAGACGGAGACGTGTCTTCCACATCGCAACATCTGGTTACTGCTGCTCGTGTCACGCCTCCGGCTCCTTCCTCTTCCTTTCCTGGAGACTCCCTCCCTCAATCACGCACAGTCAGATTGAATCGAGTCCAGGGCCAGTCAAACTTCAGACTGACTCGAGCTCAGACTCACCCATACTCAGAATCACTCGTAATCAGACTCGCTCGGACTCAGACTCACGCACCCGCTCCCAGACTCCCTCGAACTCAGACTCTGACTCAGGCTCAGATATGAGAGGTCCCAGGCGCGGGCAACAGATGTAAATTATGGTGGGGGGGAACGTAGTGCACAGCTGATGGGCAATCGATTCCGACCTCGGAGAAGGCCAACAAGGCATGGGGTATCGCCACAAATAAACGACGTCGAATCGGGAGAAGACCACACCGTGCACAGGGCCCAGACTACGCGCGTCGATCTAGCTGGCCACCCTTACTCCAACATGGAGGACCCCTCGGCGATCGCTAGCTCGAGAAAACTTCCGCCCAGAGTTTCGGTGGAATGTGAATATGACCTTCCTCTTCGCAGGTGTGCGCAAAACACTCGCGGTTAAAACAGGGCACATCTCCCACTTGTCGCCCTCCACCATCAGCTGCATAGCCTCGGTCCAGCCCTTGATCACCTGGTTGGGCGCGAAGTTGGTGGGAGACCCCCGGTCGTAGGATGAATCGAACTTCTCGCCATCGGGATACTCCTTGGCCACCCGGCCCTCATAGTGGCACTCGCAGGAGGAGTCCGGCGTGGGGTGGCTGTCGCCGTCGCCAGCGCGCAGCACCTTTTGCAGGCGGCCTCGCCACGAAGCCCTCAGTGCTGACCCCTAGCAGAATCGTCTCTGGAGCGACCTCGGCTCGGCCATCCGGACCATTCTGCCGAGGGAGCCTGCGCTGAAGGGAGCATCGAGGCACGTCCGCTGGCCTTGTACTGAAGGCCCGAGGGCAGGACGACCACGCCCTCCTTCTTGGCGTTCTCCTTCAGCCACTGCTCGCCGAACTCGTTGGAAGCCACGGACTGGGACAGCAGGGCTGCCAGGGCGGTGGCAGCCAGGACGTGCCGCGAGAGGCCCATCATCTCTGCCAACCGAGGCCCCACCCTGGAGGTAAAGAGACCCCACTACGGCCACCACTCCCAGTCCTCCCCCACTCCTGAGGGGCAACGACAGAAGGGGACTGACACAGGGGGGGATGCATCGACCTGGAAGCGGCAAGACATCGCCGATAGATCGGCTACAGGCCTCCGATAGTGAGTCCGCACCTTCCTGGGCAGGTTGGGACTATCGGGCCCCTATCGGCGATCAATGGGCGATTGGGGGTCGATGCATCCCCCCCATATGCCCATGCCCCCCTATCGTTGCCCCCGACCATGTCCTCCCTCAACTCGATGATCCTGAAGGCGCCAGTTTATCGCTAGCGTGCCCGTGCCCAGAGGACGCCCTTCGGCACGTGGAGCGCGGAGCGCGGAAGGCCACCCGAGGCTCCCACGCTTACCAGCAGAGGCTGGTCTATCCTTCGCTCCACGGATCATCGGCCAACCCCACGATGGAGGAAAGGGGATGGGCAGGGGGGGACTAGTGGGCGCGCAGCGGGAGCCTCCAAGCGAGAGGGAGCAGCGACCTGCCCGTGCGCGGGCCAAAACCTGAGCCGAGGAGGCCGCGACCGCGGCGGCAGCGGAGGCGTGAGGCGGCGGCCCGAAAATGCCGGTGCGGCAGCGGCGGTCCGCACGAGCGCGAGCCGAAACTGGGGCCGCGCCGGCGAAGACGCCTGCGGCGCCGGTGGCGGGGTTCGGCGCGAGGCCACGGGGGCACCGCGGTGGTTCTAATGTGCTCGGCCGCGTCTCTTGTGCCTCCGACGGCGATGTGCAGCAGGACCACGTGCTCAGCAGGGGCGCACATGACACACGCGTCGCCCGAAGGACAAGGGGGAGCGCCTCCCTTCTAGCGTCGCCTGGGCTTCGAAGCGAGGTCCCTCCTCTGATGTAGGGTCCTCGCCCCGAGCGGTTATAGCAGCCTGGAACATGTCCCAGTCCCCATGGTCGGCATCGCCGCATCTCGATGCTGATCGTAAGGATCCCGCGGTTTTCGAGGGCGCCTCCCTGAGATTATCATCGCCTCTTGGCTTGTCGATCCTAGGGATGGGGATACGCTCGAGGCTGGTTGAGCGGCGCGAGACCAGCGCTGGCGAGTGGCATTCCGAAGGCTGGCGCGCCGTGGCTATATGCGGGGCGCTCTCGGAGCGCAGGCCCAGGGGCCGCCGATGCCGGGTGCCTTTTCTGGGTCCCCGGACCTTCAGAAGTGGGCCCGGGGCGAAAAATGGTCCCACTGGAAGGGGTCGGGGCATGGATAAGGATGATGATGATGATGGTGGTGATGATGATGAAATTGTTGGTGACGATGATGATGTGCTGCACGAGCGCTGGCAGCGGATCCCACTGGACGCAGCACGATCGAAGATGGCACGGGAATCCCGGTGACGAAGACCGACAGCAGCCCCCGTCCAGCCTGAACGGGACTCGCTGTCGGCGTCGCCGCGGGCGCTGCCCGCTCGACACAGGAGGGCGCCCGCCCAGCAGCGTCCGCGGTCGAGATGGGACGGCATGTGCTGTTCGGCATCGCACCCATTGGATCCGTACCCAAATCGGGCGTGCCTACAGACGGCCCGCATCACGAGAATGCGCGGTCAGGATGCAGGGGCCTTGGACGCCCATGTCGAAGCTTCTCGAGCGGGGCGCGGCCGACGAAAGTGGCCGTGCATGAACCGAGGAAGCAAGGATGCAAGGATACCCTTGGGAAGATTGCCCATCCTTCCTATGCGGGTTGACTGTATGGACGCTCTGATAGGTGACCACCTGTGAACCCTAGCCCTACCCCCCGCGATTTCTAAAGGGAGGGGGGGATCCACTCCGCTCGGGAGCTCCCGAACGAAGTGAACCCCCACCCCCCTTAGAAATCGTGTGGGGGGGGGGGTAAAATCAAGCTACCCACCCGCCCGCAAGCCGTCTAGCTCACTCTCACCCGCCCTCCCAACACATAACCAATTAACACCCGAGCCTGAACATGTTCAGCGGTCGTCTTTAGATGGACAGCTACTGGGAACCAAAGCCGACCCCAGGTGCGCGACGCTTGGGCGAGGTGCCCCACGCGTGCCAGGGGCGCCACGTGCGCCAGGCACCCCTGGGGCCCGAGCGTGCCAGGCACGCCTGGTGCGCCAGATGCGCCACGTGCTCCGAGTGCGCCAGGTGTGCCTCAGACTCAAGCCGCGCCAGGTGCGCCGCGTTCGGGGCACGTGCAGATTGCGTCAGGTGCGCCTGCGCACGTGACAGCACATCGGGAAACATGTCGGCCGCCGCCATCCTTGTCGAAAACCGATGCCCATCATTGTGTCTGGTGGGTCTGCGCACAGCAGACCACGCGCCACCACCCCCGCCGTCCTTGTCAAAAACCATTTGACAGTGATCGCGGGATGGCCGCGCATGATCCAGATTTAGCCGCGAGGTGCATGTTGTATGTTTTTTGTCAGGGATGGTAGCCCTGCGCACAGCAGGGAATATGCTGACACCCCCGCCATCCTTGTCAAAAACAATACAAATTACTCGCGGGCCTCACGAATATGATTCAAGACTTTGCCTCAAAGTGTACTTTGCATTGTTTTTTGACAGGGATGGTGGGGGGCCGCATCGGGTTGGCCGCGCATGCTCCAAGTGTGGAGGCAGACTGCGGTTCGTCTTGTTTTGTTGACAGGGATGGTGGGGGGCGGGTCGGCATGGTGTCGGCATGGTGTCGGGTTGGCCCCTGGTCGCCTGGGGGAGGGAGTATATGAATGAGGAACAATGATAATCAGGGCGACGAAATCTATACACGCCCACTGCTCCCTGGCGAGGCCCACCCTGAACCCAGCAGCGGTGTACATACGCCACGCCCTCATGGCTTAGCCAGGAGGGCGTGTGCACCACTCCTCGGTTCAGGATGGGCCTCGCCAGGGAGCAGTGGACGTGTATAGAATAGATTTCTATGGGGAACGAGAACGACATAAACATAAAAACTCGGAGGTCCGCGCGGATCTCTTGGATCCGAGAAATCCGCGCGGACCTCCGAGTTTCTATCTTTGGGTCACTCTTCGTTCCCCTGAGAGTAGGCCTCGCCAGGGAGCAGCGGACATGTATAGATTTCGTCGCCCGAGAGGATTCACACGTGGCCATCGCTCTGACCCGGCACCGCGGGTTAGGGGAGCCCCGGGCCTCGGCTCCCGGGACCAGCCGGATCGTGCCGCCGCGCCCCTTGTAGCCGTGGGCGGCGAGGCCACCCGCCGCCGCCGCGGCCTGGGAGCGGAAGCGCGCGGGCGGGCGAACAGCATAAGGCGAAGCCAGGACGAGGATGACTCCTCCTCGTCCTCCTCCTCCTCCTCCTCCTCCTCCTCCTCCTCCTCCTCCTCCTCCTCATCCTCCTCCATTCCTTCTCCTTATAAAAAAATTCTCCCTGTCGCACCCCGAGGCCAGTTTTTAGGGCGGGCCGGGCGCTTCGCCCGAGACTTCCTCACCATTTATGACTCTGAAGCTTAAAAATTGGCAACAGCTTCACAGATGGAGGGCGGGTGGTTTTCAAAATGTGGCTCTCGACTCAGCGCCGCGCACATTCGTCCGAAAAAATGCAAGAATTTTACGGATTGAGGGCGGGTGGTTTTCAAAATGTGGCTCTCGCCTTAACCCGCGCACATTCGTCTTCCTGATGGCGAATCATTTCCAAAATGTGGCTCTCGCCTGAGTGCCGCGCACACTCGTCTCAAAAAGTTGTAAGAGTTTCACGGATTGAGGGCGGTTCATTTGCAAAATATGGCTCTCGCCTTAGCGCCGCGCACACTCATCTTAAAAGTTTGCAAGAGCTTCACGGATTGCGGGCGGGTCATTTTCAAAATGTGGCTCTCGCCTTATCGCCGCGCACACTCGTTTTTTGTTATATATATATATAAGTTTCACGGATGCCATAATCAACGTACCAAAAATGGGGGAAAGGCTTCAAGCTTCTGGGGGTGCACAAGTTATGTTGGTTCGCGGTGTTCAAGCCCCAGGAATGGCGTTCTGGCGCGATCCAGGATCGTCAAGACGCAACAGTCAGGTTGATCCGTGGCGTTGGAATCCCGAGCACACAATGTTTTGGCATGCTACAGGGTCTTCAATCAGTTATTTATCTTCCAACGAGGCAATTCCCTCAGTAAAAATGAACCGTTGCAGGGGCCTATGAAGAGGGAGCTTGGAGGGAGAGTTTATCGCAACATCGTTGATGCCTCTTGGGTTTACACTCCTCCTCCTCCTCCTCCTCCTCCTCCTCCTCCTCATCCTCCTCCTCATCCTCCTCCTCCTCCTCCTCCTCCTCCTCCTCCTCCTCCTCCTCCTCCTCCTCCTCCTCCTCCTCCTCCTCCTCCTCCTCCTCCTCCTCCTCCTCCTCCTCCTCCTCCTCTCCTGAAGGGGGAAGGGGAGGGGGGAGGGAGGGAGGCCACCATTGCTTCTTCCTGCCCGTGCCACCCTCCTGGGAGCGTGGCTGGACGAGGAGAAATTCGGGTGAGGAGACTTCGGGAATCTCCGAGATCCGGCGGCTCTGGAGGACGTCTCGGGCGCCGCGGGCCCCTTCGGAGCGTTCCAGAACGCTCGGCGAGAGCGTTCTGGAAGACAGCACTACGCAACGCCGCTCACAGGCAACCGCGTGCGAGCCCCAGTCAAACCTATGCCAGAAGAACATCCTTCAAGAACATGAGACCATCCGCCGGTCAGAGCACATCAAAGCATAAGATCACCGAGGGAACCCTTTTCCAGGATGCACCAGAACATCCAACAAGCACGGAGAACATCAGGGCACCCTCCCCGAACCGACCTCGATGTTACGCCTCGGTCCGACTGGACTCCTTTCACGCCGCCCCGCGCCAGCTGCCAGGGGTGCAGCACCGGCTGGCCGCCCCAGCCGCTCCGCAGCGTGCCCCGCCGCGTGCCCGCTCTCCCTCCTCCCCCCCCGCCCGCGGCCGCTTCCTCCCCCTCCCTGTTTCTCACTCTTGCTGCCAGACAGTTCGCGATGCCGTCACCCGGCTTGCCCGAGCGCGCGTGCGGACTGCCTCTGCCGCGCTACGACGTAAAAGTGAGCGCTTCCCCTGCAGGTCAGGTTCTGAGAAATCGGCTGGGGTTCAAGAGTTGAAAGATGTCTGCAGCCGGGTGAACCCCAGCAGGGGTGTCCGATGCTCCAGCGCCGCTGGGACCCGGCGGTCGCAGAGCTCAGTGAAGGGTACGGTGTTAACTAAGGAACCAAGAAACTGCATAAACATAAACTGTCGGAGGTCCGCGCGGATTTCTTACATCAACGCTGGACCCCCCTCACTGGTGCACGGAGCGCGACGGCAGGGGCGGCGCCAGAGGCGCCGCTAGGGGCGCCCGACGCGGATCCAAAAAAGCCGCGCGGAGCCTCGAAAGTTTGTGGATGCCGTTTTCTCTTCTTCGGCCAACGCCGCTCAGTGAAGAGCGCGGCGCTGCGCAGTGTTGCGCGGTGTCGCGCGGTGCTGCGCGGTACGACGCGGTGCTGCACGGTGTTGCGAGGCTGGTGTTGCTCTGGCGAGCTGTGAGCTGTGAAAGCCGTGAAGCTCCATCGGATCGGAAACGCAATACCTC